CCGCCCCCCCTCCGCCAACCCCCCGCCCCTCTTTGGGCGCCACACGCCCCGCCACACTCACTTTGCTTTCTACGCATGCGCACAGTGCTAATTATGCGAGCCACGCCCACTCCGGGCCTATTTTGCCCATCACGCATGTCACGTTCTGCAAGCCACGCCCTCTTTATGTCCCAATTTGAGTTTTACGCATGCGCGCGGCGGTCATTATGCAAATCGAGCTTCCTCCCCGCCTTTATTTTGCTTTATGCAAACCACATCCCCTCCTTCCCTAAAATGGCGCCCTGCGATTGCGCGCGGAGCTCATTATGCAAACCACGCCCCCCTCCTTGCTGTCACTTTGCTTTGTCCGCATGCGCCAAGACCTCATTATTCAAGCCACGCCTCATCACGCCCAAATTTGGCGCCTTACGCAGGCGCGCACGGCTTATTATGCAAACCACGCCCCCACCGGCTTTAGTTCTATGTCCTGCGCAGGCGCACGGAGCTCATTATGCAAAACCCCGCCCCACCGCACCGCGCACGCGCCCTCCCCTTACACCACGCCCACTTCCGGTCCAGGCCCTGAGGCGGCTCCGTCGCTTTTATTTGAGGGGGGGAAAAAACGGGAAAAGCGGGAGCGGGAAGCACCGGGAGAGCCCCGGGAAGGGCGGGAGCGGGGCGGGCTCAGGCCCCGTAGACGCTCTCGTCGCTGTAGGCGATGTAAAGGAAGAAATCCTCCTCGTGGTGTTCCTGAGGGGGGGGGGGGAAACCGGGAGTGCAAGGGTTAAAAACCGGCAACGCGAGGGTTAAAAACCGCGAGCCCCAACCCAAAATTTGGATTCGGGCTCTTCCCCGAGCGGGCTTTGGGAGAAATCCCCAAAATTCCCCAATTTTCCCCTCAGGGATTCCCTGGAATTTTGGGCCCTCCCCCCCCCCCCCCCCCTTTGGGGAAGCTTTGGAGCTGTTTTGGGGAGATTTTGGGGCTGTTTTGGGGAGGTTTTTAAGACATTTTTGGGGGTATTTCCGGAGGTGTTTTGGGGCTGTTTTGGGGGGTTTTGGGACCTGGTAGAGCTGGCCCATGGTGGCGCTGGTGGGGGGGATGACGTTGTTGACGAAGAAGAAGAGAGCGTCCTCGGCCCGGAGATGGATCCGCTTCCGGATCAGGAAATAGACCTGCCCCACTGAAACACCAAAAACACCCAAAATTAGCCCAAAAACTGAGCAGGGCGTCCTCGGCCCGGAGCTGGATCCGCTTCCGGATCAGGAAATAGACCTGCCCCACTGAAACACCAAAAACACCCAAAATTAGCCCAAAAACTGAGCAGGGCGTCCTCGGCCCGGAGATGGATCCGCTTCCGGATCAGGAAATAGAACTGCCCCACTGGAACACCAAAAACACCCAAAATGAACCCAAAATTAACCCAAAAACTGAGCAGGGCGTCCTCGGCCCGGAGCTGGATCCGCTTCCGGATCAGGAAATAGAACTGCCCCACTAAAAACACCAAAAACACCCAAAATTAACCCAAAATTAACCCAAAAAAACCCAAAGTCAGCACAAAAAAACCCCAAATCCACCCAAAAAATCTCAAAATCAACCCAAAAACTGAGCAGGGCGTCCTCGGCCCAGGGGTGGATCTGTTTTTGGATGAGGAAATAGAACTGCCCCACTGGAAACACCAAAAACACCCAAAATTAACCCAAAATTAACCCAAAAACTGAGCAGGGCGTCCTCGGCCCGGAGATGGATCCGCTTCCGGATCAGGAAATAGAACTGCCCCACTGAAACACCAAAAACACCCAAAATTAACCCAAAATGAACCCAAAAGAAACCAAAGTCAGCACAAAAAAACCCCAAATCCACCCAAAAAATCCCAAAATCAACCCAAAAACTGAGCACGGCGTCCTCGGCCCAGGGGTGGATCCGTTTTTGGATGAGGAAATAAAAGTGCCCCACTAAAAACACCCAAAAACACCCAAAAATCAGTGAAAAAATAAGAAAAACCCAGAAAAATCAGGTCAAAACCCTAAAAAAATCAGCTCAAAAAGCCCCAAAATCAGCCCAAAAACTGTCAGATACCAGAAAAATCAGCCCAAAAAACCTGAAAAAAATTGAAAAATCAGCCCAAAAACCTGAAAAAAATTGAAAAATCAGCCCCAAAAACCTGAAAAAAATTGAAAAATCAGCCCCAAAAACTCGACAAATCGGCCTGAAATCAGTGAAAAAAAGGAAAAGCAGCCCCAAAAAACCTCAAAACTCAGAAAAAGCAGCTCAAAATTCAGTAAAAAACCCCAAAATTAACCCAAAAACTGAGCAGGGCGTCCTCAGCCCCGGGGTGGATCCACTTTTGGATGAGGAAATAAAAGTGCCCCACTAAAAACACCCAAAAATCAGTGAAAAATGGGAAAAGCAGCCAAAAAAAGCTAAAAAAAACCTAGAAAAATCAGCCTAAAACCACCAAAAAACAAAAATCAGCTAAAAAATCTCCAAAAACCAGAAAAATCTGAACAAAAAACCCAAAATCAGCCAAAAAAATAAAAACCAAAACCCAAAGAGATCGCCCTAGAAAACCCCAAACCCCAAAAAATTGCTGCAAAAAATGCCAAAAATTGGCCCAAAAATCCCCCAAAATACCCCCAAACTTATCCCCAAATCACCTCTGAACACCCCAGAATTTCACCCAAAAAAAACCCCAAAATCTCACCAAAAAACCCCAAATCATCCCCAAAAAATTCTTCCAAATCCCCCAAAAAAACCCCAAATTACCTAAAAAAAAACCCCAAATCCCCCAAAGTTTCACCCAAAAAAACCCAAATCACCCCATAAAAACCCCAGAAAATTAGAAATAAGCCCCTAAAATTCCCCAAAAGTCCCCAAATTCCCCCCAAAATCCCCAAAATTCCCCCAAATCTTCCAAAATACCCAAAAAACTGCAAAACTGCACCCAAAAATCCACCAAAAAACCTCAAATCACCCCAAAAAAACCCAGAAAATTGGAAATAAACCCCAAAAAATTCCCAAAAAGCCCCAAATATTCCCCAAAATTCCCAAAAACCCCAAAAATTCCGACCAGAACACCCCAAAAACCCTCAAATCACCCCAAAAAAAACCCAGAAAATTGGAAATAAACCCCAAAAAATTCCCAAAAAGCCCCAAATATTCCCAAAACTTCCCAAAAACCCCAAAAACCCACCCAAAAATACCCCAAAAAACCTCGGGAATCCACCCAAACCTGCCCCGGGCCCAGCACGGCAAACTGGGGGCACGGGGGGCTCAGGGGGGGCCCCAAACGACCCAAAACAACCCAAAATCCCGCCCAAAAACCCCCCAAATCCCATAAATCCCCCCAAAATCCCCTGAATTCCCCCAAAATCCCAAAAAAACCCCCCTAAAAAATCCCAAAATCCCCCCGAATTTCCCTAAAACCCCCCAAATCCCCCCAAAATCCCCTTAAAACCCCCAAAAATCCCCCTGAAAAAAACCTCAAATCCCCCTAAATCCCCCCTAAAAAAAACCCAA